TAAAGTAAAAAACATTAAATTTTAAACTTAAGTTTCCATATATGATGTAGATAATGAAAAGAGCATTTTTATGGATTGGAAGATCTTAATATAAATGATTTTCGAAATTACTACACAAAAAGTGATCAGCTCTTTGTTGGTTATTTTCCACTGAAGACGGGCGCTTGTCAACTGACAGATTATCTCGTGTAAAAGGAACATCCTCAGCAGTACTAAATAACAAAAAAAAAACAAGTCCAGAAACAACACAGCCAAAATACCAAATAACTACAATGACAAAGATGTAACAGAAAGTGAAAAAACTACCGGTGAAAACACTTTGCTCCAGAAAAATATCAATGGCATTTTAATTAGGAACGAACAATATTACGCAATTCATTACGAGTCGTGGTACATAGGTCGGATTGTTCAAATAATTGATGAAACCACTAGTAAAATAAAATTTTTAAAATCTGAACTTGAAGAATATTTATGGCCAAAAAAAGACGACATTCAAATTGTTAAAAATAAATTAATATTTTACGGACCCATCAATTCAATTGGATCTGGTCCATTTAAACTAGAAACAAACATCAATAAAATTTGTAAACGTTTAAAAAAAACACTTTTATGAAATTTTTAAATAAAAAACCTCCAATTACTTAATTACTTAACTTGTTTTATTTACCTGTACCTATTTGTTCATTTAGGCATATCAAAGATACCTAATAATGGAGGCATGTAAGTACCTACATAGAAGTTTATATTTCGGGTATCACATCAATTAAAACTGATCTTTTGAATGAATAAAAAACGTACAAAAAGTTGATTTATTGATAAATTTGTCGTACACACTTAGTATTAAATCAATGCATTGTATTTAGCACCTATACATGCGCTATACAAAATTTAGTTTTTCTGATGAAACACCTAGCTAATGCTTTTTTTACTGGAAACCAACTGGTAAGCCATACAATATCGTAGAAATCTTTCGGAATGCGTGCAATTTTGCAATAATACTGACAATCCATACGTACGAGTAAATCGCCGCAATCAATAGAGAAATCGTTGCAGTCAATACATAAATCACCGCAGTCATGGGAAATCTGTCGGAAGTCATGTGGAAATCACCGCAGTCATCCAGAAATCGCCGCAGTCATCTAGAAATCGCCGCAGTCATCCAGAAATCGCCATATGATTGCGGAAATCATATGAATTCGGCAATACATGTACATTTTTACAAAGAGTGATTTGCCTCTCGGGTACTAACCTCTTTATTTATCATTTTTAACCAGTCCGGTCCTGCTTTAATGCCTTATGTCTCTTCCTTATTTAGGACTTTTACGGCCTTCATTTTTTTCGTTACCAAAGAATATTCGATATAATACACGCTAGAAGTAACATAACTGTTAAAATATTTTTCACGACGAGTATTACACGTTTTTTCGAAAGTAATATCTCGTTAACTATTAGAGGAGGAATTAAATATCATCTGGAAACTCCTGCTGTATAACCATGTAATAATATAGGTTTCTAGTTTTGGCTAAAAATATATCATCAGAAAATGAAAATATGATTTTGGGAAACGTTAACAAATGGTAAACAGTAATGGTACCAAAAATATTTTGTACCATTTTTAGGGTGAGATTACAGAACGTCTGCAACTTTGCAGATCTGCAAATATGGCGGCAACTTTGAAACTCTGCAAATATGACTGATTTACACATGCAAGAATCAAGTTTTCGTATTCCAAATTTGAGTTTAGTGTTGCTGGGGGTAATAAACCACAATAAATATTGCGAATTTGCAGATATTTTTTGGAATACTTGCATTTGTAAGTTTGCCTTATTTGCAGATCTGCAAAGTTGCAGATCTGCAAAGTTGCAGACGTTCTGTAATCTCACCCTTAATTTTTAACTTAACGGACACGTAACAACAAAATGGTTGAACCTAAAGAATAACAACTCTTATCTTAACATTTTGAAAACTATTTAATAATAAAATTAAATTATTATACCGGGTGGACAAAATAATAGTTTTGGTCACTAATCAGTTTGTATAATTTTTTTATTTTACTTAGATAGCCCTTAAATAGATATATGGGTGATTCCCGGATAACTGTGATTTTTTATGTCCAGTGTCCAGCATAAATTTTCCTCATCAAAAAGTTATTAATACTATAAATTTAGAGGTATTTTACAACCGACATTACAATTAGATCATAAACCTTCTTAATTTTTGTTTAAGCTGCATATAAGTATACTCGAAATGTCAGTACCGTTGCATGTCCGATTCTCATTTTTGAAATTAAATACATAAATTTCTATCAAAATTAATTTTTTAATATAAAATTTACCTCTTATAACTACAATCTAATGCATAGTGCATTGAATTTTATTGCAATTTTATACCAATCTTTCGATTGGTAAAAAAAAATAATCATTTATATGTCAGTACCGTGGAAATAATGACAGTGCCGTGGCATTAAAATTTTTAAATTTTTTCACAGTTTTCGTTGTGTCGCAGCTGTAGTAGAACCACTTTACAGGCTTATATCTGTGCACAAATAGAAAACACGAGAATCCGAGAATATTTTGTTTCTACAAAATTCGATTTTTAGTTGTTTATAGTTCAAAACTCTTTAAAAGAAACTACAATTCTGGTGTGGTAAATTTTTTCAATTAGCTATTACATGGAGATCCAAAAATTAAAAAAATGCAAAAATACCCTTACAGGTGGGTTCTTAGGTCATGATCCAAACAGATGTTTTGAGTAAGGTAAGCATGGCCGACAAGAGGGGAGGCAGCCGGGACTAATTCCTGTGGCCCGGGCTCAAATGGGGACCCGGCAGCGGTATAAGGGGGACCCGGCAACCGTGGGGAGGATTTTTTTTCTTTCAGAATTTCGGCACAAGTTTTTGCTTGGAGACTTTTTTTTAGAGAGATTCAAGTAGAGGAGGAGGTTTTTGTTTGAAGACCTTTTTTTTAGAAAATTCAAGTAGAGGAGGAGAATTTTTAGATTAAAGACCTTTTTTTAGAGAAATTTAAGTAAAGAGGAGGAGAAATTTTTTATAAAATTGTCACGGGGCCCGATCTGGAGAATTGTCCTGGGGCCCGACCTGGCTCTCGGCGGCCCTGAAGGTAAGTCCAATTATAGGTGTCGATGTATATCTACTAAAATACGACCATTGTTTAATAAAAAAAAGTGAATTGAATTATTGATTTTGATATTAAAAATACAGCAGATACTGTATTTGATTAATGTAATGAGTTATTAGTTCACTTATAAAAATATATTACTGTGATATTATTTTGTCTTCTTTAGATCAATTGAATAATGGATTAATCTCTAGTGCTTATCAGTTAATTGCTCGTAGATATTTATTTTATTCTGATTAACTTACAATAATAGATTGATCAACAGAGATGGATTTTATTATTTTATTCTGATTAAATTACTCAACAGAATAATCGGATTGATCTCCAACAATGATCAGTTACTCGTCTGCAGATATTAAAATATTATTATGTTTTGTCGTATTGTTTTAATCTCCAAAGTAATTGAATTAAAATTAAAATGTCCTCAAATTAAATTTAAAATGTCCTCAAATTAATCATATCGTTTGATCATATCAATTTCCATATATAATTAGATTAATAACTTTATATGATTGTATCAATACGTGATGATTAGTCCATCACATTAGACTGACTGTTTTAATCACATTGCGTATCGGCTGACTTTTGATCCTCAGAATCATTAATTCAAATCCCTTTCTAATTAAATAATGGCTACTTTTTCGTTCAGTGTGATGAGCGCTATTTACCAAATCGATTAATGTTCCAACAGAACGGTGCTCCTCCGCATTATGCACAGGAGGTGCGAGCGTACTTAGACCAAGAATTTCCAGTAAGGTGGATTGGTAGAAGGGGTGCTATAGAATGGCCGACAAGAATTCCAGATTTGTCTCCGTTAGATTTAATTTTGTGGGAACATAATCTAATATCTATGCTACTCAACCAACTTGCCTATAAGATTTACGGCAGCGGATTATTAACGAGTGTCATCTTATAAAACCAGAAATGCTCCTTAATGTCAGAAATTAATTTGAGGAGAACTTGTATGGAAGTTAATGGCCAGCCCTTTAAACATTTATTTAACTAATTTTAATGTCAAGCGTCTTTGTAAATAAAAGGAATAAATTTGAAATTTAAAAAGTCAAAATGACATCATTGAAAAGAGAACTGAAAGACCTTTTAAAAAAGGTGTCATTTAACCCCACTTTCCATTTAAGATTATAGAGGTGTACAGCACCCTGTTCAAGGGGTTAAAGATAGGGGTTTGGAAATAAGTCTAAAGGATTTCCCCTCGGATTTCCCCCTCGACACCCTGTATAATGCTTGGCATTCTATATATTATACTCTTCACAGTTTAACAGACGTCCTTGCAAGGGGGCTCCTGCGGGGGGGCTATAGGGGCCATGTCCCGGGACAAAAATTCTTACGATTTATAGGCCTTTTACTCAAAAAAATATGCTAAAAAGGGAATGGCTAAAGGCAATGCTGCCCTCCTAGAAATATCGTCTTTGAGCCGCCTTGCCTCGTTGACCCCCATTTTTAATCAAATTTTTATTGTATTTAAAATCAACAGGCTTCGTCCCCTCATATAGCTTCATTTTTCATGAAAATTTCAAGTTTGTTATTTCGTTTGTTATTAGTATTTTTTATACTTCAACCTCCTTAACCCCTCATTTTTATTCAGATGTTTTTCAAAATAAGCTTCATTCCCCTATAGAGTTTGAATTTTCCAATTTTTCCAAATTGTAACGATAGTTATATCGAGAATTGGAACATTGGCGTGGGGGAGGAGCGGCTTCTAGTAAGTGCCTATTACCATCCACTAGGTTTTCTTTTAAAACTTATAAAAAGTTGGTAATTAGGAGGATAGGTTCTATTGGTAGATTAGAGATGGTGTAGGTTTAGAATACTTATGAACTCTACATTCTCTTCCACACCGACGTTTTATTTTGGAGAGCTAGCTCCAATAGAAAATATATCTGGATAATAACAAAATTGTTTCAACACGTATCTAGAACTAGTCTTAAAACGAACACCGAACCTACCTGTATGTGTTCTGAGATGAGCTTTAAGATGCGAACTTTTCCCATAAACCTTATGGCAACCATCGTACGAACACTTATGTGTCTTCCTCACTTGTGCTCCCAACCTGGGAGTCCCCTGCACCCTAGCAACTCCGACTTTCTTACTGGGCGTAACCCCATCACCTTTTGACACCTTAGTAGGCGTCACCGCAACAGATTTAAGCACCTTAGGGGGCGTGACTGAATCAATTTTGGTTGTTTCGGTGGGTGTAGCAGGTTTTTCTGTAGTTTGTTGTGCAGGAGTTTTGATTTCTTTGTCAGTATCTTCGTCAATTGTTAAATTGCCTTCGTTGTCAGATGGGACTTCTGGTACGGGTTCCTGCTTGATTCTGGTGAGATCTGTTAAGATTCTGGCGACCATGTAAGACGAGGATTCTGTGCTCCCAGTAACTGGTTCTTCTTTGACGTATGTGGGGGAGACTAAAGGTATTTGTTCAACGATCACTGCAGGTCCTGGATTCACGAATACAACTTCGCGGAATATATTTTTAGATAGATCCAGGGGACGTAGGTTAAGGTGGTCTTTACTGTGCGACATCTCCAGTAAACACTGAGCGGCGAAATTTATGTCATCCATTTTTTCGTCTCGATTTATTTACGTGCACAAAAATAATCACAATTTTTTTTTAATCACTTCACCGTAACACTGACAGCGTGACACGAAAAATACACCATTCCGAAATGGTATTTTGTTATTCTTCGGGACTGACTTCGTGGGAGACGTGTAGGTTTGTACTCGCGGCCGCGATCTTTCGTAGATCGATTTCGTAACGGAACGCAGACCTTCCCAGAACGGATCGCAGATTCAGACTGAAGACTAAGCGCGGGATCGCGGACAGCCATTCTATTTTGCTTCTGGCGGTGGTAGAGATGGACGCGTTATTTTTTTACAGACAGTATAGCTTCGCGAAGGGATTGAGGGTTAATAGGTTAGGACAGGAGTAGTATTGAATAAAAAAAAATAATTGATTTAAAAAGTATAAAAATAATTTTACATTGAAAGGGTCGACTAATATCTCATTTGAAAGAGGATTTGATTTTCAATTTAACGGTTTAAATAATTACTGACGTCCCTCAACAAATAATTTTAGGTGGACAGGCTTCAGGGGTAAGAGGCCCAAATATTTCACATAAGCAAGCCTAAGGGGTAATTGACCGGGAGCTGCCGCCTCAAAATTTACCTCATAAGGTATAACATTTTTGATTGACAGATTTGATGTAAATCAATAACATCATTTATCAAATATTTGTTTTATATCTCTAGAACTAATAGTTCAGTTCTTTTTGTTCCGCGAACGCTTTTTAAGTACCGCGCCTGCGAAATGGTTACTGTTAGTAATTAGTCGGTTCAGGATTCCTACCTCGAACAAAGCTATTGTACCGTCCGGTTAGCGTTCCAAGCAAACATGGGACCGATCGGGAATCGGTTTCTGTACGGTCCTTTCGATACCAAACTACAGTCTGTTCGGTATATTTACGCGGGTTTCGGATTAACAAAATTATTCAAATTAGTCATTGACAACCAGTTCCAATAAGCCTCTTACCAAGAAATTAGGTAAAATTGCCCTAATGATCAGATTTAAATTAAAATAACATTAGGGTAGGTACTAAATTTGTTACAAATATTGCAGTTGAATTGATTCTTTGCAAGTGTTGACATTGTATGTATATTGTAAATTTAGTGGAAATTTTAAAAATGCCTAGACGTGTGTTAGATGTAGATAGTCTAATTTGTAGTGTACATAAGTATTTTACGGATGAAAAAGAAAATGGCGGTCCTTGAAAATCGGTAATGTCTGTACAAAAACGCGTATACGATGCTTTAGGAATTAGTGAAACCAAATTAAGAGCAGTACCTATTACAAAATCACAATAGTGAACTGCCGAAAGAAGATCACCGCAAAACTCGCCCATCATTGAAAACGAAAGATATTCCAGATGGAAATAAATTTGAAATTCGTGATACCATTTATCGAATAAGGGCCAACAAGGAACATGTGACCTTAAATACAATTCTCTCGGAATTAATACATAGAAAATTTGACGACATTGGCAGAACAAGTCTATGGCAAGTGATACATAACTTGGGTTTCAAATTTCAAAAGGAGGATAACAGAAAGGCCCTTTGTGAAAGAAGTTCTGTCGTGCACAAGAGAATTGACTTTCTAAGAAAATATTCTAAATTTAAAGAAGGGGCGAATTTTATATATTTAGACAAAACATGGATATTTTCTAGGGGTGCAACCAAGAGAATATGGCAAGATGATAACGTACAGTCCATCAAACATACCGATGAAGAAGGGAAGCGACACATAATTTTACATGCAGGAGGGAAATCGGGTTTTATAGAAGGTGCTGATTTAATATTTTCATCTAAATCAATATCCAGTGACTATCACGATAATATGAACACAGAAATGTTTGTAAAATGGTTGCATGAAAAACTTCTCCCAGGTTTAAGTGAGCTCAGCGTAATTATTTTAGACAATGCACCTTACCATTATGAAGTATTAAACAAAGTCCAACGAATTCTTGGACTGTTGATAAAATTAAAGAATGTTTGACAAAGGAACATATACCATTTCCTCAATATATATTAAAATCAAAATTATTACGCTTGGCAAATATACACGCAAAACCAGAAACCTTTGTTGTGGATCAGATTATTGAAAGTTACGGTCATTAAGTTTTACGTCTGCCACCGTATCATTGCCAGTTTAATCCCATCGAATATATATGGGGAATAGCAAAACAATATTATGACAACCATATTGGGCCTAATGGTTATAGTGACGACGCAGTTCGGGAAACTTGGCGAAAAGCACTTTCAATTGCAACTCCAGAAGTGTGGCGAAACTGTATATCCAAGTGCGAGAAACTAATAGAAGATTGGTGGACTCGTGAAAATAAAATAAACGAAATAAGTCCAATCATAATAACAATTAATGTTGGCAAATTCAATTTTTTTAGTTTTCATTTGAAATTCTCTACATGGAACAAATTTTTATGTTAGAAAATATTTTATTTGAGCTAAATAACCCTCTTATTATACATAGACCATATTTTCTGTGTGAAGTGTAATATAAAATTATTATTAGGTTTATAATAGCCACATTAGACTAGATTATTATTTAATTAAAAAGTTGTACATTATTTTTGATTTCATTTAACCAGTTGATATTTCCCCAAAGAACAGGTCAAACTTTCGGGTACTTACCTGGAAATACTCATAAAATTTTTAATCCGAAACCCGCGTAAGTATAGCGAACAGACTGTAAAAGTTGTTATCGCTTGGGTTGACATGCGCACTGCGTACACTGAAACGAAAGGCCCGTCTTTTTTGTTTGGATTTGACATTTTGGTGGTGTTTACGTTTTTAAATTAAATTGTTTTTTAGATTTTCTGCTTTATTATGTTCTTGGATAGTACCTAATTTATTTTTATGAGTGATGAAGAAGGTGGTGATATTCTCTTAGACTTATTATCTAATGAAGACGATTTAGAACTTGCTCTAAATGGACATAGAGACAAAAAAATGATAACTATTTAGGAAATGCCTACTTCCCGCCAACTAAAATTGTCACAGCATCGTTCGCTACTGAAAGTGGTAGATAAATACGTTCCATCCCGGTAGAGTGTGATCCCAACCACAAAACAGTGTCAGGTTATCGTTGGCGCATAACAAGCTAGTTGAACGATCCCGTGTACCGTTTCGAAACGGTCCCAAACTCTTGGTTGGAACAAACCTATAAATAATATTGGATCTAGAACAGTTTCTTGAAGAACAACAGCTACTATATTCTGCGATAACTTTAATATTAGAACTAGGCAATTTAGTAACTTCAAGAAGTTTGATTTTTCGTTAAATTTCTACAAATATAATCTAAGAAAATACAGCATTTAAGTCTGGAAAGGTCGCTTAATATATTTTTGTTTATTTCATTAAAATTTGTTACAGATTGTCATTCAAAATATAAAGGAATTCTAATAATTGTAAATTTTTTTATAAAGCCAGCCCTAGACTACCAACAAATGTTATATTGTATACAACACCAAAGTTCTTATCAAATACAAAAATATAGAGTGTGGTTCTATTTAGGCATTTTCCAATGTAACACCCTGTATAGATATTTATAGATAGGAAAAATAGTACATTTTTCTCTATAAATATGAAATTTTCATCGAAAATAAAAGCTAGTTATAAAAAACATTGACTATACAAAAAATAAAGAGTTTTATAACCAATTAATTGCACTTTCAAAAAAATACAATGTAGATAATTTTAAACTTCGTTTTAGTGGTTTCTATTTTCCGTTCATTAACATGTAGACAATGGAAGAAGGAAATTCCTCTAAATTAGCCCTTTTAAAGAGGTATTTTTATTTACTTTAAACTGGTATAATCATAGGTCAATAAAAGTTTTCAAAATGTATTTTTTTTTAATTTCATAAACATTTTTTGAATGTATATGCATTAAAAGTTGGTATACAGTAGTTTTTGGTATAAAAAAATGCCTATAATGGGTACCTTTTTGCTGTAGTCCCTATGGGTTACTTAAAGGCGCGTTTCAAAAAAAATTTTTAGTGGTTTCATAATTTATTTCCAGAAGTCTACTATACTATATATGCCAGCACGGTTTCTATCGAAATAGATCCATCGACACAAATTTGGCTTGTTTTTTGACAAATACCTCAGTGGTCACCCATCAGCGCGGATAGATGGATGTAGTGTACACAGACTTTGCCGAAGCCTTTGACAAAGTTGATCATGCTATTCTTATTGCGTAATTCATTTATTTTAGTAAGCCTTTCATCAAACTATTGTCTAGTTATTTACTAACAAGGAAACAAATCGTAACATTTCGTAGGAAATATTCTAGAGATTGTTTGGAAAAATCAGGAGTTCTACAGGGATCAAACTTCGTCCTTCTGCTTTTTTGCTTTTTATAAACGATTTGTCAGATTACATGTCAAGTGAGTGCTTAATTTATGCTGATGATTGCAAAATATTTAGGAAAATTAATAATCAGGATGACCATGATCAATTACAACAAGATCTTAATAAATTATATAATTGGCTTAGATAAAAGAGACCAGAGATATAACATACACTGGTGTTTAACCTGCGCAAATGTTGCCAATTTCTAAAGAAAGGTTAACGGAGTGGGGGAACTGGGCAGGGACTCGAACTCTGTGACAGGGACCGGACTTTGTTTATTAGCATCATAATGAACTATTAGATTTATTTAAAATATACGTTTAGTGGAATTTTGTATTAAAAAATAAATTTAACGTGATTTTTTAATATCAAACATATGCCACGACATTTTATGTAAAGAGAAGACCTTTTATAGAATATTTCGTTAGCTATTATTTACTATGGACTTTTCTGTAAGAGACTACAGTAAAATGTTGAAATTGAATATTGTTAATCGAGTAAGAAATGGTACTCATTGTCTAAGAGTATTATAAAAAAGCATGTGCGCAGGCGAATACTGCAAATCAAACCTTGTGAGTTGAACATTATATTTTTTCTACGACTATCACATAATATTAAAATTTAGTCAAATTGAGAAAATGCTGTTTTGTATTATAACCTCAGAAAAAGATATATTAAAGCTTGTTTCTTTAGGAATATTAATTAATATAGAGGATGCGTCAAATAAAACTCTAGAAATGTATATGTCTGAAACCAGATAACATTTTAAAATTTAAACCTATTAAAAGTCATTTGGTCGCTAGGAGTGGGTGATTATCGAAATAAATTATTGATCATTAATAATAATCGATTAT